CTAAAAGCTCTTTAACGGTATGTCAACGTGACGATCAATTACTCATTATACTCACCAATTCGAAAAGCTCTTTCTTCTTTGCTGGAAACGTCTGCTAAGTATGCCGTTGCTCCAACGAATAAAACTGTCGCAAATCCCGACAGCCCGTTGAAGGCCGCGCCCGCAATCAAAATGTAGACTGACCAGTTAAAATACATTACCAACAGGGTAATGACCATCTCCAGACAAGCTCCCAATATGGCAACAAGCAAAGCAGGTTTTCTTCTGCCGCCATTATCTGTCCACGGGCCCCATAGGGGCGCCACAACAAGGGAAAGCAAGGTGAGGGTAAGATTGTACGTCATGCCGAGCTGGGAAGCCAGAGTTTGCACCTGAAATGAAACAAGGGATATGTTGAGCATATGTTTCGCGAGATTGCTCGCGGGCACCCTGTTATATTTTGGAAAGTATCTGGTATTTTCAGTATCATGAGATATCGAGCGAGGCCGCTCTCCCTGTGGAATGGTTGTCCTTTGTAGGTTCCAAGCCACTTGCCCCATCCTTACCATACATCTCTTTTTAAAGGGTTCCCATTCATACCCCTGAGAGCAGACAGGAGTTAGAGAATTAGGTGAGAATCAGGCGTCTTTACTTACAGCACAACGCGATGATGTAATTCAGCATTAAAACCGGGATGAATTCAAAGAAAGAATGAATTCCTGGGGTATAGCTTTTTTCTTATCATATTACAGGTTCTAAATCGGGGTGTTGTTTTTTTTCTTATCATATTACAGGTTACTAAATCATAAAACAATGAGAAAATTAGTTTCATCAGTCATGCTAGTCATACTGCAACGACAATACGTCATTACATCACTGTGAGAGGACAGCTACGTGATTAAAAATAACGTGAATGAGTGAGTGACCTCATTTTCCAGTTCTCTCAATGTTGAATTTTGCCCCAGGTCATCTCCTCCGCAGCCGTTTCCGTCATCGCTTTGGCTGAGGTTCTGATATGGAAATCCTTTCTCATCACTAATTCGCTCGTACACGTAAATTGTCAGGATTGGGAAGTTCATAAGAAATCCGTAGAAGTAGAAAAATATTACGAGTTCCACCGTAAAATATTTCTTGAGAAACTGGATGACGATGGATAAAGACATCTGAAAGAATGATGCAGGATATGAGTTGAAAGTTCGACCATTAGTATGGTCACATGCGTGTGATCGCTAATGTCAGTCGCTAGCTAAAATCCCAAAAGCCCACACAGTAGTACAGGTATAAAGGAGGTGCTAGAAAAACTATCGACTTTGGTGGGATGGAGTCTTATCCTTGTTGAATAGGATCGCAGCTCTGAATTAAGAAAAAAAATTGTATTGCGACCTATGATGTTTACACTTTTCATCGGCTGAAAACTCTTTCTCTATCTAAGCACACGTAACCAAACATTCTTCTGTAAAAAAGGCATGTCCCTTGCCTTCATCAATGACCCACGCTCGTGACAAACGAATACCAGTTTTTGGCTGATTCAATCTACGATTTTACACAGTCAGGATACTTTTGACAATTCTGATCCCAGTAGTATGCAGAATGCTTGTCATATGAACTTTTGGTATGGCCGAGCTCACTTCGAGTTCTCGTTAGTCTCCTTCGCAGCCGTCTTTCGGAATGTCACAAGGGAAGCGTTGCGTGACATCCCGAAAGACGGCTTCGAAGGAGACTAAGTTCTCGTTGGCTCAGTAGTAGAGCATCGGAGCACCGATGCTCTGACTTTTTTCTTCGTGTCACGCTTACGAAAATACAGATAACAATTTTATTTAGCTCCACTTACATTTCCAGTTCTCACAAGCACTTGCACACTACAACTCCTAAACTGGTACGAATTATTCAGTATTATAATGATTTCTGGTGACGTCACAGAAGGTCACACAGCCTTCCGTCTGGGAATATCAGTTTTGGTGAAAACTGCTCGCAAAACAGGATGTGACATTAGGTAAATACAAGCGTGTCTTTGAGCAGAAGGCGTTTTGAGATATCGCTATTTGCAAAGATACTACTGTCCCATTAGTTTATTTCGATATCTTTTCTATTCAACCCGCTTTTTCTACGAGGCAAAGAATAGTCCTCGAACTTTGAATTTGTTAAAGAGCGACCACAAGGGACTGTCAATTACGAGCTTACATAGAAACCTGACTATTCCAATGCACTGTGGTTTTACTTGCTTAGATTCTGAGCACAGGGCGAACCGAATATAGTTGCAATCATTGCTCCCTTCCTGTGATTTACATGTTTATTTTTGCTTGAGTGACCCCTGATAAAAGAAATAGCTCTGTTTGACATTTCAAGGAGCCAACCTAATCCTCCGTGACATGCATATGTTAATTGTGGTATACAAAATTAGCTTGTTTCGCTATAAACCATCTATACAGCTGTCACCTAAGCAGCATCTCATCGCTTTTACAATACAAATCATGCATTGCAAATGAATGGAAAATGACGTGGAAACGCAAATCCTCGTTTGACTCTAGCTCTGCGAATATCTCTCCGGTCATATCCGATATTCAGCGTCGCGCTTTGCACTGGTAAATTTTATCCATGAAAAGAACATTTGGGAAAAGAAATGACGAACAGGTTACCTTGTCAGAGCACAACTGGATAATTAGATCACTGGGTTGTGTCAGTTGCAGCTGCTGTATTTGTTGGCATTCACTCCAGTTACGGCGGACAACTTCAGCTTTGCCGGTGACGTCAAGACCATCACTGTGTTTGTTTACTTAGGTATATCCCTACCCCTGTGGAGAAGAATGTTGGACTGCCGTCCTTTAGAAGACTTAGAGCAGTCCAATATATCTAGCCCAGTTGGTTCTGAACGATGATATTTCAGTTAAGTGCGCTAAAGGTTTTGTTTCCCCTTCAGATTTTCAAGTGAGAGAGGAAATAGCAGTCTCCTTCTGAGTGGATGTTAATCTAATTAAGACTTGCAGTATCTCCCGTGGGGAGGAGGGAAACTTGAATGACTAATGTTAACCATTCAAGTTTCCCTCCTCCCCACGGGAGATACGTTGTGTGACAAGAAGGAAAAAAATGACTAAAGGATTACGCGTAGTATATCTTATGCCTTTGCTTTAAGGTGTTTGTGGTCAGACAACGACAGAGTGTTCGAAAAGTCTCAAATTTGTATCGCGAGAGAATTGGCGTTGAGCAAAATTGACCACCAGGCATTACAGGATCCATATAGTTGTTTTTAACCTCATTAAGGAGTTTAAAAAGTTTGAAGTTTACACAATGGATTCTGGTAAACATGACTCAAGATAACTGCTATTCCTCCTTTGGCCCTCGTCATCACCCCGAGGCAAGTTTTGCCGTCGCGCAATTTTTGTGGCTACTGCCTCCTATAGGAGGTTAAAAAAAATAAAAATAAAAAATACTTGATGTATGTATACATACATACATTCATACATACTTTATTTAACGTGGCTAACACTTAGCTATCAGGGCCGTAGCCAGACTTCAGAACAAGATGAGGCAAGTTTTGAGCACCGAAGGCGCAAGTTGCTAGGGGGGTCTGGGGGCATGCCCCCCCCCACCCCCAAGAAAATTTTGAAATCTAGAGGTTCAGAAGAACTTTTTTAAGCATTTTCCGTGGCATTTTTCTTCAGAAAAGTCAGTCTTGGACAAAATCAAGATGAGGCAATTGCCTCGTCTTGCCTCATGCTAGCTACGGCCCTGGCTATATAAAGCTACTTTACAGGTCAGTCACGAAAGAAAAGATAGATAAATAAACTTAGAAGCTATGTAAAAGTGTTTAAAATGATTTAGTATTATGGAACTGCCTAAATTTATAGAACTATTAACTTATAAAAGCAAGAATAAATTGCGTTAAGAGATTGCTTTGCCTTAAAAGTGTTTAAAATGATACAGTATATACAAACTACAATTATAAAAGTATAATGCTTGTATACATAATTATGTTATCAAAATGAGTGAGTGACGGTTGCAATACAATGCTGAACTTCACTCGCGTGATTTTGACCCGATATCACTTATTGTTTACTTCAGAGTATCTGCATAGTTCGACATTCGCGCTGGAGATTCAGTTTTTCGGCGCAGCGTAAACTTAAGACAGAAGTGCCTTTGAAGCAAGTCATTTTGTGCCTAAACAACCCAAAATGACATATTTTTTAGTTCTTGCGTAACACTACAGAAACGCGAAAAACGATTCTCGCCCAGTTAAATGGAATAATGAACAGAGGAAAGGCAGAATTGCAGAATATTTCTAAACGCTGAATTCGGGGTTGTGTAAAACAAGTCTCACAAAAGTGGAAATTTAAACAAGAAAATTTTTTATAATGAAAAAGCAAAGTTTCAGAAGCAAAGCTTTATCATTATTGGAGCCTAGAAAATAGGAATGAGAACCGTAAGGCTTTCGAGTTAGCCCCCTTAAATTGTTGTATATTACTACTGTAATCATAATGACTATTGTTAGTACGATAATTTGTTACTTTTTCATTATTAGCTGAATGTCAGTTTATTATTATATTCTTGAATCATCTTTCTCTTGTGAAACAGGGTACTCATAAATATTTGGGATGCGACAAGTTCTGTTTTGCACTTACATGAATATAATCTTCTCAGCGTCATTACACAGCCTCTTGTTCTTTTCAACACAATAAGAATTGTCTTGTATCAATACCCACGTACAGTCTTAGACTGCCTCTTGTTTTGCACGTGAATTCAACTCCCAACTCCTCTGCAACACTACCTTCCAGCGTTATTATACAACCTCAAGTTCTTTTCAATGCTATGAAAATGTGCTATATCAGTAGCCACATGCAGTCTTTGTCAAATTTTTTTAAATTCATTTCGTGACACTAAAGGAGACGATAAACAACTCACAATCATCTCACGATGGCGCTTGATCAAAGAAAAAATGTTTCCTTGCAGAAATATCATTGCTTAGCTTTACGAGGGCAGGGGTAGGCAACCTTTCGAAATGATGCGGCGTAAATCTGAAACAAGTGCTTGGTGTAACAGTTATATCTTTATTACTCAAAAAGGATAACAAGCTAAAAAAGGGAATTTTACAAGGTATGGAGAACGTCGGACTTTGTCCTACTTTAACTTTCGATTTGCTTTGACGATGTCTTCGTCCTCTCATATTTCTGACATTGTATAAAAATTCTACTTGGCTAAGGGTATCGTGTCGCGTAGACGTTGGGTGCATGCATTACTCAGGTTATGTAAATACTGTGGATGTGTAGAATTCTAGAAGGCTAATACGATAGATAAGGCCTCAATGGGGTTAACCGCCAGCCATAAAACGGCCAAATTAAACCGTTAGCCCTAAGAGCTATCACCTCTTTGAGAGCTTCGATACATACTCGATACAACCATTTTCCGGAAATCCCCACCACATATTTCACTCGTCTGGATAACGTATATCCCGTTCACACCAGCAAACATGTTAAGCTAAAATGGATTTTTTAACTGAATGAAAATCAGAAACAGAGACTTGAAAACTGAACTTTCTATTTGATTCAAGTAGTCAATAACTTGTCTTTTCAATATGCTACACTGAAGTCGACAAACATCGGTTTAAGCAGCTGCTATGAAGAAAACAAATATGAACCGTGTTTAACAAAACAGCTTTAAAATACGTTTAAGCTTTGATGTGAATGATGTACAAGTCTTGCGCTCCTATTTCAATCAATCTCAGTAGCATCTGGCCGTTACATTTCAAACCACTAATCAGAGAAGTATCAATTAAGCAAAAACGTGACTAATTATTATCAATGACCTTACCTAAACTATATTGTTTTGTATTAAAAGACATAAGGCTCTGGATGTTATTACACATTAAAAAAAAAAAAAATTGATCTATTTTTTTAACCGTCCTCTTGACTGTGTCTGTCTGTCTGTATGTCTGTCTGTGGGTCTGCCTGTCTGTCTGTCTGTCTGTCTGTCTGTCTGTCTGTCTGTTCGGCTGTCAGCCTGCTTTCTGCTTTGTTATCTCAACATTTCCGGTGGATATTCCTAGTCCTCTATTGGCTTTGCAAGCTCTATTTTGTCTGGGTCAAACACGTCGGCTTCTGCTGATGTGTCATTTTCATTTTCATGTTCTGAGTCTTTCACTTTTCCGTTTTCCTCGAGCAACTTCTCGTCTTGTTTATTACCATTTTCTTCATCATCCTTCAATGTCATCTCTTCTCCTGTTTCTCGCCGTTCATCGGTCGGTGGTACTTGTACGCACCTGCAAAACAAGTTAGTAAACAAGTTAGTAAACAAGTTAGTAAACAAGTTAGTAAACAACTTATTGTTTTTCTTGAATAACCGGAGGCACACCGGCGGATTGACTCATTGGTGGATTCTGGATCAAATAGTTTCGATGAACCCACAACGAAGTGGTCGTGTTGTGTTCCTGACTAAGGCAGTCTATTCACTCTCATAGCACCTTTCTCTGATCAGCTGGAGTAGAAATGGGCGATTGACAACTCACGGGAAAACATGAATAAAATTATGTGGAATAAAATGAAAAAACCCTTGATCACTTCATGTATGAGGGTTAAGCTATACAGTTTTGGTAAAGAATGGATAGATAGATAACAACATACGCGGACACTTGTTGATAGTTTTTGGAAAGGTTTTCGAGTTTTGAGACCCTGCATTCTATCTTCTTTCGGGGCCCCAAATGACTTATCATCTTCCGTTAACCGCATACATTAGCTTCAATTTACTAAATGAACTGTCTTGCGACTACAACGAAACGTTTACTTACCTGAGGATACAAAAAGGAATTAGCTTTATGGCGGCGCACAGAAGGAACACGAAACCACCGAATGTGAGGTGGAGAGTGCGTTCGTACACGCTGTAAAATAACGTCGCACCCAGGAATTGGCAGAGGCTACTAATAATGCCAATAGCACAAAACAAGGAACCTAGAACAAGGAAATAAACAGACCTGTAAGGAAGTTTTTTGACACTTTTTCTTACAGTTTTTTTGCCTTTCTGAGTGGCATGGTTTACTGGCTTCTGTTTTGCCATCCAAACCGTCTTTCTTTAAATTTCCTCTTAACTTGTCTATTGTTTGTCTGCCTGCCTGTCTGTCTGTCTGTCTGTCCCTCTGTAAGCCCTCTGTAAGCCCGGCGTCTGTTAGTCCTCTTTAGTCTGTCTGTTTGTCTGTCTATCTATCTATTTGTTTGTCTAGCTGTCTGTCCATCTGTCTATCTATCTGTCTGTTTATTTGTCTGCTCGTCTGTCTCTCCATCTGTACATCTGTCTGATTTTCAGTCTGTCTGTGTATCTTTTGGCTGTCTGTTTGTCTGTCCATCTGTCTGTCTCTCTATCTCTCATCAGATGTCTGGCTGTCCGTCTATCTGTCTGTTTATCTATCGTTTTGTCTGTGTTTCTATCTGTCTGCCTATCTGTCTGCCAGTCTGTCTGTCTTTCTATTTGTCTGTATCTCTTTCTATCTGCCTATCTGTCTGTCTTTCTGTCTGTCTATCTAACTGTCTGTTTATTTATCTGAGCGTCTGTTTTTACGTCTCTCCTGTTTGTGCTTGTGTCTGTTTGTAGGTCCGTCTGTCCGTTTTTTTTTTTTCCTATGGTTAATCATCACGCCTTGGTCTGTGATTATCGCAAAAGCAGTGAGGCATGGCCGGTTCGTATTTCTCTTGGTTTCATTTGTTTTTTTTCAGGCGTACATACCTTGCTCATCGTTACCAACTATCCTTGACAAAATACTTCTGATAATTGGGCCAACAGATGAGTTAAAGAAGCCCAATATTGGTGCTGAAAGATAAGAGAAGTTTAAAACCTTACAACGCGTATTTCGAGTAATGCTGTACCACTACTCTTAATAAGTCCACTAATGTATTTTTTTTTTCAACTCCAATAGAAAGGGAGAGAGAGGGGGGGAGAGAGAAAGAGAGAGATAGAGAATACAGGAAAGGATTATAGCGTCATTGAATGACTTCTCCCTCGCAGCAATAGGCCTTATGGTTATTATAAACATCAGGATATCCAATTTCTACCCCAAGCCTCGCTTGAGACTGTGAATTTTAACGAGAAAGTATTCATAAAATTTGTGATCAGTAGCATATGCACGTGAAAAGAATAGGCGGCAAATGTGCTGCAAACCAGGCTTGTGGATGATTTTTAGGAAATGAGGTAACCTCGACGTATATTGAAGGGCTACTAAGCTTTGAAGAGTGACAATTCTGGGCATACTCTCAGCTTTTTAGTGAATACAGCCCATCAGTCAGTTTTCGAGGAAACCCATCAGTCAGCTTATCTAGGCTTTAGTAGCACGAAGTAACAAGGAATACGCCTACTATCTCTGGATGAGACGGGAATTCATCACAAGGCTATACTTCCACCCAACAAATGGTGCAGTTTATTCCTCGAAGGAAAGAGGCATTGTGTGGGCAAGGTGCCCTGCCCGTAAATATAACACAGTGACCTGCCGGGCCTTGGACCCAGATTTTTCGACCCGGACTCTAACGCGCTGACTAATTGGCTACCCCCTCTCCCTTCACTCATTATACTCACCAACAAAAACCAACCAGGTCCGAGTTGCGAACGCTAGGAGCACCATTTCACCAATCTGACTGACAATCGATATATCACAAGCATTTAACTCGCTGAAAAACTTCCCAAGCAACTTGACACCAACGGCTCCTCCCACTCCACTGAGGAACATTCCGTATGCCAAAAAGTACCCAACGAGTTTGGGTCTAAAGCAGAGGGGGCTTCTCATGACGAAAAGACTAGTTACGCCTTCAAGGCCCAATATTGTTAGGTAGATGATAGCGCTTACGACAACGAGTAGAAGCAAACTTTTCCTTCCGACTTCCCTTTCCTTTCTAAAGACGTTGACGAGAACGTTTAAGCTCTTGATATCGAAGAAATTGTGTTTCTCGTGGGTGGCTTTCTCGTGGCTTTCCGGAACTAAGAAGATGACCCAGAGGCCAGATATTAAATAACATCCCAGGATGATCCACGTAGGTATGATGAATCCGAATCTATGGATCCAGAAACCACTGGTCAACTGGCTCACGACACCTCCCATGAAGAAAAGCGTCTGCATAATGGCTGCAAAATAAGAATACAAAGTAAAATACATCATAGAATTTATTGTAGAGAGTACATACGACTACAACCCAAACCAAACACCTCAACTTGTGCGCGTCTTTCGTGTCGGCTTTAAGTTTAGAGATCGGAAGCCACATGAAGCTGCCTACTTTCAGTTATAGTAAATGTTATGATGATCCCTTCACCACTAAGGGACCCGCCTGTGGGATGTCATGTTTTCCACGGGATCTGCAGGGATCTGCTACGCGAGATATAACCATTCAATAGGTGAGAAGTTTGCAATGCTAGATTCGTGCCGGGACCGGTAGGGGGAAAAATGTGGTAAGTCCTTTCAACCTGCCTAGTATCAGTCGTGTACATTTTCATTACCAAGCCGAAAAGCAATTTCGTTCTTTTCAGTGGTATCAGCGATATATGCCATTACTGCTAACGAGATGGTCGTTAGATGACCAGAGAATCCAGCTAGCGCTGAGCCGATAAACGTCACGTACAGCGGCCATTCAAAATACATGACCATGAGCCAGACCGTAATGGCAAGAAATGCACCAATCACAGGAGCGAGGAGCGCGGGTTTCCTCCGGCGAGATTTGTCAGTCCATGGACCCCAAAATGGTGCTACGATGAGCGAAGGAATGGCCCAGAAGACAATGTTTCCTGTGTCGATTTTAGTTGCCAGACTTTGTACCTGAAAAATAGTATATTCTACTGAGAATTAATTATTGATTTAGGATATTTTATTTTTGCACTTTTCCCCTATGGAACATCTAATGCTTTTGAAGCTACGCAGGGTACAAAACAGCTCGATTAGTAGACTAGAAAGTCCCATTATGACTAAGGGACATGGTCCCCCCATAGGGCTTTGTGGTATTTCAAGGATCCCAACCCCTACTTGGCAGTGAATTTTTAATAGTCACTCCTTTACTCTCTGTTTGGTGACGACTGATCCCCGCTCCATTCCTCCTGAAAACCATGCAATTCACCCCCTTCCCCCTTTTTTCCCTCCCCCCCTTTCTCAGGCAATTAACAACGGCTTATTCCTTACTGCTCACAACTTCAATATTTTAAGTAGATCTCAAAATTTTGCATCATTAACCAATAGTAAGGTCAAGATGGCTGAAGGATGATGGCCTATCTTACGCGATCGCAGCGTCAGCCATGCATATAAGGAAATATGACAATACAATATTACATTTCATATCCATAGAGATAGCTGCTGGCTTAGACGTAGAAGCAACTCGTCAAGTCACACTATTTTTGACCAACATGTTTCAATACATGAATTTTAGTGAATAAACGTCATATCGGTAAAGGACGCCTGACACGATTAAGGGATTGAGAACGTCAAAGCGAAGGACGTCGCACCCTAGCATTCAATTATTGAAAGTAAATGATGACATCTCACCTCATTTTCTAGATCCCTCAAAGTATTGTTTGCACCAGCAAAATGTTCTTGACATCCCAGGCCTTCTTTTTCCAACAGCAACTGTTCGTAGGGTAAACCCTTCCACTGGCTGATGACGCTGTACACATACTGTCTAAAAATCGGCATGCTCATCGTCAGACCGTAGCCGTAGAAAAATATCAAGGGCTCCACTGTGAGGTAGCGTCTCCATGTTGGAAGCTTTTTTCGTAACATCTTGACAAAAAGTCAATCTCCTAAAGGACATCATAACTCATTAGTTAAGTCATATGTGGATAAAATAGTGCTGTGACATACATGGTCACAGATTATGGTGCGTCCCACTGACTTTGCGTGCCTTCGTCGAAATCATTCTAATTCTGTTGTGATCTTGGACAAGATTACGTCGTTTTATATGTAAGCTTCGAGAAAATCGGCCTCATAAAAAGAGGTTTTATTCCTTATTTATTTACTTTTATACTTTTGCTGTTTGGGATGAATCTAATTTGACATTTCGCCCATCAATCCTTTAATTTTAAGTTTTGAAGTTGTCGTTGTTTTAAATAGTGGTAAGCCACGATTACATGCTCATCTCGTCTGCTAGAGTTGTAAAGACTTTGGTTAGAGCCAAAGATTCCTGTTATTTAGCTTGCTGGCTTGTGTTTATCTCTTCCGGTTGGAGTCCTTTATTTTAAATGAACTTCGTGCTCTATTAATTTATTTTTTCGGGCTTGTATTGAAAGTTGCTGTTATAGCCAGAGTGTTGAAATGTATTTTAGCCCTTTACCCTCCAAGATTTGACTGTCAATTCTCCCCTCTAGCTGCTACACATTTCCTTGTAAATTATATAGTTATGAGAATTTGGTGTTAGATCAGCATAACAACATCTACTTGAGTAAAGTGGTTTGAGTATTCTCCACATTACCTCTTTGCTGGATAATGTATGGATATGACAGCGAGAAGTTTCATGTTAGTCACCTCTGGGAGTTCAAGGTTTAATTAAGGAGAAAATGATTGAAATATATGTATGTGTAATCAAATGGCGACGAGTGAAATTACGAAATATCAGAATTTTGACAAAACGCTAGTGAAATTACTTCCTAATTTCATGAGAAAACCATTTAATTACCTTTTAATATCGTGGGTGACAAATCACGTTCACAACCGTAATTGTTTTTACTGGTTTACTCTATGGAAAACCGAGAACATGAAGAAGATATAGTTTTCGTTTAAAGCATACATTATTGTTAAAGTTGGTAATTTTCTGAGTTTCTTCAAAAAAAATACCTTTCGAATTCTTCGTGCCTGTTAATTTTCGGCCGCTTCTTTTAATTTCGTAACTTCTCCAAGGGTCACCGTCTTAAATCTCGACGCCATCGTGGCTCTGATCGAGATACAAGAGATGTTACCATGGCAATTTTGTAATTTCACATGTGAAATTAAAAATTAATGCTGAAATTTCGCGCCAAAATTTAGGAGTAATTTGTCACCTATCATATTAAGCAAATTATTGACACTCAATCAATAATCAAATGGCAACAAACAATCGTATTAAAGAACTGAAATAGTTATTTCTACGGATCTACTAGGTATAATTCGCTGATTCAAAAGATAAAGTACTCTCCCTTTAAAAAAAAAGTTTTCTCTTAGTTTTCATGATGCGCCGATTACAACTTTCATGACATTTCTGCAAGGTAGAGCTTTGATTTTTTACGCCCCAGCTTGAAATTTATCGTGAGACGTTTATCGTCTTCTGTAGCACTCTGAAACAACCAATAAGTTGAATCGGGTTAATTAGGAAACAGTTTGATGGCTGCTAACTCC